ATTCCAAACAGGAATATTAGCATTGGTTTTGACAATAATTAATAAGCAAATGACGACAATTTTGTGAATGGGTGCCTGTGTGCAACTTATTTTGCTTTTTTTCCCTATCTTTTAAACTTTATACTAAAAAAATATTTTCATTCATTTTTTATTGTGATAAAAGGTTATTAGAATTACAAAAACATATTAAAATTTGAATAATGTACAATTGACAATTCAACTCAAAGGTGGGACAGAAATCAAATCGGCCAGCTGCTTCTTTTTGAAGTCATGGGCTCTCCACACGTTTTTTCTGGCTCAAGTACACTTCTTCCCCCCCGGGGGGGATACGCAAGAGGGCGACAGAGCCCAACACTAACAACTAAACATCAAAGGGATTATGGCCTGTTTGGATGGATAGCAGGCCAAACAATAGTTTCGAAAACAAACCATCCAAACATGTACAAATTATATGAAATCATGGTTTGGAGTTTGGATCAAAACTATGGTTTTGAAACTCAAAACGATAGTTTCGAGAAAAGTAAATCCATTCTGCTTCTGACTCAAATTGGAGAGTGTGATTATGCCTATCAGAGTAGATCTCAACAATAATATGACTGTAACACTCTTTAATTTTTTTTATAAACATATTTAATCTTATATCTTATAAATATATATATATACATATTAATTATTTATTAATTATATTATCTTATATATTATTAATTATGTTGGTAAAAAATATATTAACAATTTTATTCCTTCAAATTAAAATATATTATAAAATCTATGTTTTATGTAATTATCATATTAGCTTATTCTTTTTTTAGTAATTTGCATATATAAAAAGTGCTTCCGATAACAACTATCCAAACATACTTACTTTATCAGAATCATTTTTCCACAAAATCTATTCTTTCAAGAATTTATTCTTTAGAAACTATTCTCCAAATCATAATTTGGTTTTATCCAATAACCTCTTAAACCCCATACACTCAGCAGCCACTAACGCTCGTACCAAAAAAAGAAAAAAGTAGCCACTAACGTATGATGAACAGGAGGACAAGAATCTAACAAAGTACTACGAGACAAGCCTTCTTTAGCAAGGAAATCCGCAAACCGATTCCTCTCTCTGTGAATGAGGGTGTGTTTGGGATAGTAGTGGCAGAAGTAACTTTTTTTCCATTTGACTTTTACAGAAGTTAGATTGAGTAAAAGTCAAATAGTGTAATGTGATTTATGTTTGGATCGGACTTTGTAAAAAAATCGGTTTAAGAAGTTGAAACTTGTTTGGATGATATATGTAAAAGTAAGTTTAGATGTAAAATGACTTAAAAGGACATGAATTTTATTAAATAGTACATATCTAATATTAAATATATATGTGACTATTTTAAAAGAGGTAAGGAAAATAAAATTATGTTTGGATTAATATTTTTAAAAAGTCAGTTTGAAAAGTTAAAACTTGTTTGGATAAACAATAAAAAAATAAATTTAGATATAAAATGATTGAAAAGGACATAAGTTTTTATACAAGACTTAATTAACTAATCTAAAAAGATTAAGAATATATAAGTATTTTAGAGAAATCATAAATTTTATATTAAAGAGTCAAGGTAATATATCATACACATACAATTTGATAAATTTTTTTTAAAAAATAATAAATTAAATTAATTAAATTATTGGGGTTTTTTCCGGAGAAATTCTATCTTTTTATGTTTTATAGTATGAAGATGGACCCCGTTTTGTCTTTTTCCTTCTTGTACATCTTCTCTCTTCACGGCAAGAATGAACTTTTTCTTTAGAAGCAATGTAAAATAGCTTCACTAGTACCGCTTGTTGGGACCAAAAAGCTCATTTCTACAGAAGTGATCCCAAACATATACTAAAACATAAAAGGAGTTTTTGGCTGTTGAGATGCACGTTTAGGACCCTAAACGTGATCCCAAACAGGCCCTGAATCTAATTTCCAAGTTCGAAGGGAGTTTAATGAGCTTCTGAATTTGTCACGTCAAAAGGCCACCATTATTGATTTCCCCATTGAAAGGCTAAAGTACGCTTCGTTCCCGTGCGTTCCAAGGAGCCCATGTGCATGGGCTAATTTCCTTCATTTCAGGGTCGTGGGTTGGACTGCCTTCTTAGCCCTACCATCATATTTTACCTTCGGGCTTGTTATCAGCACTGTGCCAATTTCAACCCAAACAAAGCCCATTTGAGTGAAAAGCGGGTTGGGAGGGATTTCTTATTTTTCATTAAAGACGGCGACGATGAGACTTGACTGGGGAAAAAGAAATTCGTCAGTTAGTGGTCGGACAATTAAAGTCATAGTTTCCTATCAGTACAAGATCGCGGCGGTGATTAACTCTTGCAAAATACTTATTTATTCAGCAGTTGCAACACAGGATGGTGAAACGAAAACGGAAGATAACCTAGAACAATCAAGTCAAAATGGGGTGCTACGAGACCGAGAACTGATGTAATCGATCCAATGCGGTTCATTCATGTATTAGTACTAAAAGAGGGATGTGAAAGGGGAGGGGGCGTACATGGCTTCAGAAAATGATCGTCCCTTGCATCAGTGGAACTCTTGCATGAAAAACTAACTCTGGTTTTGCTTGTTTTGGAATTAAACCCAACGCCCGTCTTGGTGTCGAGTGTTGGAGTTTTGGTACACTCCTTGTAAGCCACCAGAAAGGGGTCTGGTTGCCTCCTGAAGCCCTTCCAGAAAGTGCTTCTGCGAGGAGGCGGTTGAGAAGGCCGACAAGGAGGCGGGGGAATCTTCATTTCTTCACTTGCTAGCGTTTTGTTTGAGCTCTCGTCCAAATGATTCTCAGTTGCTGTTGTCATTTGTCTTGGTTGTGATGCTATGGAACATGATTTCCAAGGAACGGCTTCTTCTGATCCTGTACAGTTGGGAAGGGCTTTTGGAACTCCAAGCTTGTCCTCCCAAGAAAACGCTATGCTTCCGCTTCAATGCACCTTTCTTCTTGGATTCATCATGCTCCGGTCTTAGGCCTCCTGCGCATAAAGGGCTAGTCAAAATATACCCTGCGTCCTTTGCACTCCCTAACCGTAGAATCATCTTAGGTGAGGCGTGAAGAGGAAGGATGCTAATTACTATTCTGATCCTGATCATAAGGATTCTAAAAGCCATGTTTGGTCCTCCATATAAAGCGAAGCTGTCATAAATAATTTTTTAAAATTTTAATTTCAATTTCGCCCCTCCTTCGTTGCAAAAAAGAAAAAGGCATACTTTTAATTATTGGATAACATTTTATTATGGTCACTGAGGAGCAAAATTTAAAACCCGAACATTTTGGAATTGATGACTTTGTTCTTTGATTGGAATTTGAGAGAGCATTGATGGTGGATTGGTGGTGGCATTCAATTGCAAAAGCAGACAAAGACAAAATCCCCAATTAAAATCTTATGCGGGGGTGTTATACTTTTCCAAAATGAAATGAGGTGCCTAAGTACTTTGAAAATATTTACAAAAGAGTATTCAGTGTTTGAAATTTTTTTTCCTCTTATATGCTTTGAAAATTTATTTTCATAACAAAAATACCCTAATCGCTATTCGCTGTTAAGTTTTGCTATCAAATTATATGGTTTAACTAGTATTTTTAACGGTTAAATTTAACAATAGATAACGGTTTAGGACAAAAGTGTTACAAAATAAACTTCTAAAACGTATAAGAGGAGAAAAAAACTTGTAAGTTCTAGGTGCTTTTCATGAATACTTTTAGAGTATCTAAACATTTCATCCCTTTCCTAGATTGTGGCAAATTAGGAGTGTGAAGTGACAATTCAACTTGTGTAGCAAGTTATGTTAGTACTCCTCCGGTCCTAATTATAAGACCCAATTGACTTATTTGAGGAGATTAAGGAAGTAAGTTAAGTTGGTTATTTATAATAAATAAGTGTTGTCATTCCTAAAATATCCTTGCTAATTAAGTATATTGGCTAAAACTATCATTATTAGAAGGATTATCTTGGAAAAAAATGCATAAATATAAGAGACAAAATGGATTGGGTCTTATAATTAGGACCAAATAAAAAGTCAAATTGGGTCTTATAATAAGGACCGGAGGAGTATTTAGTAACTTGACAAGAGTGGGGCTCGCACGGTGTGCCCTTGTTCTGCTTGAAATGTCAAAGACCCCATCATGTTTGCTCATTTAAAGAGGCTTCCTTCTCCATCATGCAACCCTGTATTTTTCTAACACCTAATGGGAATTAGGACTTTAAACTATTAGCATGACTGAATTTGATTCTGTTGTCATCTGTGGTTGCCAGATACATAAGAACGCATCTTGAAATTCAAATCCAAACATGTTTAACTATCGAGTGAAAATTTATTCACTCCCAAAGTTTATTAATTCACAGTTAACTTTTCATTATATAGTCAAACAACTTGTGATTTTTTCCTTTTGTGTCATAAAATTCCGACTGCAAGACTCAAGGATGATCATATCTTTCTTAACTTAGCCCAACATTTATTAAACTTGTTTATTTCAGAACTTCAAACTAAAGTTATGTGAGGGAATATTCTGGAGTTGAGACTTGAGTCTCGAGAGTGAAAAATTGAAGCCAAAGCCCATGCTTTCTTTTGTTTTTTGGTACAAAAATCGTCAAGCCCATGCTTTCAGCCCATCAAGGGATGCCTAATGAGACTAATTCCGTCGCGGTCATGGGCTTAACCTCGGGGTGGCCCAAACATTTCTGACTTCGTATTAATCCGGCCACTTCACGGGTGGCCTGAGCCTATAAAGTGAGTCGTATTTTTAGGGTTTTCTGTTTGAGGATGAAAATGACGAACACTTTGTCAGTTCACCCATCTACGATGTCTCCTTCCTCTCATTCCCTATCCTTTTTTCTGATTCTGTTATACTGAGTTATGAATTTTTGATGTCAGTCCAAAAAAATGAATGAATTTTCGATGAATTAGTGATTCTTTTGCCTTAAATTTGATTATGTTCTGGATCGAAGATTGTCTTTGTTCGGGATTGTTAGAGCCGAGGCTAGGATGACCGAAATTTCTCGATTCTGATTTGGATTTCGGGTAAAGGACCAAATTCCAGAGCAAAAATCTTTTGCTTTGTGATGACCGCGTTTGTGCGTGTCTGAGCCTCCTCTTCGCATTCCGTTTGAATCTTCTAATTCTTTACTGGTGTCGCGCTGCGATGATTGTGGAACAAGGTTTTCTTTGATTATTTTCATGTTAGCAGTTTGGGGACGCCATATTCCGTGGCTAACAAAAAGAGTGTTTTTCTTTCTTTCTTTCTTTTGACTGACAAAAATTGTTTTTGCAATGATCAATTTCACCTTAACAATTGAATGAAACAGGCCAGCAATTTGAAAACACGGGGAAAAACAGTTTAATAATGGGTTTGAAGAATTATCCAAGTTCCAATCAAAAGATGTGTGGCGGGAGTCTCATGTTTTCCCCAAATTAAGTTTGGGGGTCCCTTCCTAATCTCGCAAGTGAAAAATTTAAAAATTTTAATTCTTTATCTTGCCGGAAAAATTAAAAGATTAATATAGGGCCTACGTGGTTATCGTTACTTTCACGAATCGTTGGACCGTTTGACGCCACAACCCACAAAGAAGGAAATTTCTGAGTTTCCATTGCGCTCCTCAGCACCTTGAAATAACGATTATCTTCCAACTCTAGGGTTTAGGTTGATTCGATTGATCTCACCATGGTCTTAACATCTGCGCAAACCTTTCTACGGTCGCCGCCATTGATTCAGCCATCTCTTCCTTCCGCTACTGTCTCTTCTCATTGTTTTGCAACCTCGCCTCGTAAATCACGTGCTTCCTTAGCTGCAGCTAGGTATCTTTCTCACCACAGGGGTTCAGATGTGGTTGGAGGAACAAACCGTATGGTTGCGAGAGCTTCGACCTCGCAATACAGTGCCAATATTGCGGAGGATGTAGGGGATGTTAGCATATTCACTGCTGCCGGCGAACCCGTCATGTTCAAAGATCTCTGGGATCAAAACGAGGTCAGCACCGTTCGTTCCGTGTATGCTCCCTCTCTTTTTCGCCCATGGTTGATAGAATGCTTAGTTGTCTTAGCTTTGGTTTCGTGCGAGGGTCAGTCAGGAATTATCAAACTTTAAAATATGATTGTTGAACCCCCTCTGGACTGTATAAACCGATTGCAGGATGACATGGCTTTAGCTAATTCATCCACCATGAGCGTCTAAATCAAGTTTTCTTGCCTTGTAAAAATATATATATATATATATAAAATTGTTGAATATATTAAACAGTGAACCCGATGCATGAGGATTCTTACAATTTGTTAGCTTTTGATACTGGGGACCAAAATTTGTAATATTGAATAATGGCCTGCAATGCTAGCTGGTGGCTCCTGTCTGATGTGAGTTTGTACCGCGAAATAGTCGCTAGATAGAAACCAAGTTATGGTTTTAGAAGTGTTTTCACAGTTTATGAAGTAAATATGAGAAACATTTTTGAGGGTTGCCAAACACCCATGCAGTGAGAAAATAATACCTCATCGTTAATCCTAACAAGGCTCTCTTTCCAAAATGAAAATTCTGATACAAAAAGAAAATGACATCGCTGGAAATTCAAAAATGCATCCGGCAAATTTGATGATTATTGTCGTTAATGTGACACATTAACTTGTTCACATATAAATGAATGAAAACCAGAGCCAGCAGCTCGATGGAATGTACTGTTTTCTAAATTTTACAAACCTCAAAATCGGTTACTGTGCAATAACGGTTTGTTCTTCCCCTTGAATTTTTCAGGGAATAGCCGTCGTGGCCCTCTTAAGGCACTTCGGATGCCCTTGCTGGTAACTTATCTTCACCTCGGGCCAAAACCATGAAGCCCCCCTTTTTTAGCCCCATAAAGCTTGTTAATTTGACTCTCTACCCTTGTGCATATTGTTCTTAGCTGGGAATTAGCTTCAACCTTAAAAGAATACAAATCAAAGTTCGATTCAGCTGGTGTGAAGCTAATTGCAGTGGGCGTTGGTGCTCCCAATAAAGCTCGAATCCTAGCCGAACGAGTATCTCTTTGAATTCTTTCTGTTGATCTTTCTTTTTGACGTCCACCAATAATTCATTATTGATATTCTGAACATGCTTGAACTATGAGAATTAGGCGCGATGGCATTGAATTTTATCTCCCATTAGAATTGGAGACGATAGCATTTTTAAGCTTTGGAAATGGCATGCCTGCTATTTTATTTGTGGCATCATATCGAACTAGGTGGATATTGGTGACAGGATGGTATCAAGCGATGATATTTGTTGGAGTGATCTCTGAGGTAGGGGTTGAACCAAAAAAAAAGAAAAAAGAAAAAGAAAAAAGAAAGATCTGAGCTAGGGCCATGCACTCTTGCTTAGTCTTTAATGCATTATGGTTCAAATGCTTGCCCACACTTATTTCATTGAAGTCATACTATTTATATCACAAACTATAATAAGTGCCCCCTCTTTGACACTGGCTTGGTGTAGAATTTGGATCTCAATAATTAAATGTCTTTTAACTAATCCCTTCATCATTTCTGTTAGATTGAGAGACCTTCGTAAGTGACAATTTGTGTAATGTTGTTATGGATATGTTCCTAATGTCAATACTCAAAGCTGCTATATTTTGAATTTTTGATGACTTGATATTCTTTTTCAGCTGCCATTCCCAATGGACTGTCTTTATGCGGATCCTGAGTGCAAGGTACCATGCGTATAGCACATTGAATTCTCAGCCTTTAGGGCTCATCTCTAAGTGAATTTGGAGTAATAAATGCTTCCTTCTTTCAGGCATATAATCTTTTCGGACTATACTATGGTTTTGGCCGCACATTCTTCAACCCAGCCAGTGTAAACCTCAGACTTCTTCTATGTAGTACATACTTCAAAAGGATCATTGGGTTGCCTTATAAATATACATATATGTTCACCTTGAACTATGATATTGCAGGCAAAGGTATTGTCGAGATTTGATGCTTTGCGAGAAGCAGTAAAGAACTATTCGATTGAAGCCACTCCGGATGATAGAAGCGGCGTGCTACAACAGGTTTGTTAATCCATGTCTGGCATAGAAGGACCAGAACGGAATTAGTTGTGTTGATAATTGCTGTCATGGCTTTATCAATTGTTAATTTGATGGCAGGGGGGAATGTTTGTATTCAAAGGGAAGCAGTTGTTGTATGCGAGGAAGGACGAAGGCACAGGCGACCATGCCCCATTGAATGATGTTCTTATTGTCTGCTGCACTGCTCCTGTTGCCTGAGCTCTGTTCCACTGATTGTTATGCCTTCCTTCATCTGCGCCTACACGCGGTGGGATTTCTCGCCGGCAATTTTGAACCCATGCGCCTCGCTGCATGGGCCTTTATGTTGTGTAGCTTTTCGAATGCCCCATTGTTAAAGGAATTCCTTTTCGTAGAAAATATGAGTTGTCAAATATATAGCCTGTTAAAGACTGGCTGTATAATTGTCAAATGCAATCTTTTTTCAAGCATGACTGGTACATAAAATGTAAATAAAGGCAGGAATCATTATACTGCATTGAGTTTATGATTTCCAAATAAAAAGAATATCCATAGAACGTAAACCATATGAAGAAGTGCACGAGCCTTCCAGGAAATAACGTCAATCAAACTTGGAATTCAAGTTAATGGCGTATGGTCGGATCCGTTTTGGGACATCATGGGAAGGTTGATTGCTTGGTTCATTGGGAGAGCTCGCCAAGTACTCGTTCCTAATCTGAATTGAGCCTGAAAAATATGTTACGGCAAATGAGTAAACATGAATGAAAAAAGACAGTGAAGGATGAAATTACCAAAGGGCGGTGCAATACCAAGAGCTCCGAAGGAACCCATTGTCTGGACATGGATGTAATTTTCACGACTGGTCAGAAGATATCTGCATATCACACCTTTCAACAGTTGAACTTTTCGAGTAATGCATGCGAGATGCGACTCTGCTAGTAATGGCGATCAAACAACACCCTAATCCTAGTGAAAGGCACAACTATCATCTAAATTATAAACTACTGCATAAACATACCTAATATTTGTGTGTATTTATGACGAGCTAAACTATGAAATCAATAATTAATCAAACAAACATAATTAAATTAATAATTAATGAAACAAACATAATTATTACTCGGCTGAACAGGAATACAATAAAATGGCGCCACATTTCTGAGTTCTATTAGTTTCCTTATATTTTATAAATACAAATTTTAAAGAAAAGAAAGATATTAGACTTTATGCCCCTGAAAAAAGGATGACGGTAACCGTGAGGGTTGAATCGATTGGTAAGAGCCGTTTCCATTTAATTACGGGTCTCAAGTTGATGTGTGGGAATGCAGTATGTTAGGACTAGGGACGTCAATCTTAATAACTCCTGTCATGTCTTAAACCTTGATTAATCTGGCCCATTAAGTTTCCGTGTCCTGTGACTGGCACAGGATACTGGGTGCACTATGCAAAAAAAAAAAAAAAAGATGACGGTGATCCATCTTACACCGTACACGTCTGGGAGGTGGATGCTGACTGAAAGAGTTGCTGTTCACACGTTTTGATCAGTCTTCCTGCCAAATTTTTGGGATATGGGAATTACGGGAGGGCCTCACGCTCACGCCACTTCGCTTCGCTCCGTGGCACAACTTGTCTATGCTCTGGAGAATACCAAATTTTTCAGACCGACATGGTTTTGACATTTGCTCAAAATTTAGTGTCTCTGCGACCACCGGTTCGACCCCTCGTGTCTTCTGGGGTCTTTCCCCCTTGTTTCTCTGTTTCAACTCCTCGTTCGTGCGTACCAACTTACTTCCCTGAAAAAAGTGGTTCCGCTGTTGTTGGTGGAAAAGCGCGTCTAGTTGCAAGAGCTTCAGCCTCCACCTCGCTATACACACCAAACATTGCCGAGAGTCTTGGTGATGTCACCATTTTCACTGCTGCTGGTGAGCCAGTGACGTTCAAGGATCTCTGGGATCAGAATGAGGTCGGTATCTTTAGCCCAGTTTCTACTCCTTCTGTGTCCTCCTAATCTAACATTCGATTTTTTGGATAATCAGCGGGGATTTGTCATTGAAAAATTTGCATCGTCAAAAATTGCTTTCTTGATGGAACTCTGCCAAGTAACTTTGTTTTGTGTGCCAACATTACGTCCGATATAGATGATTATGTAACGCAGGTGAAATCTGCCAAAAGCTTGTTATTTTTCTTTTTGGCGGACCTCCCCGAAGTTCATTATTCATGTTGAAGTTCGAAAATAATTATTCAGACAACCCGGTCAAAAGTCCACTTCTCATGATAAAAGACTGATACAAATATAACATTATAACTCTGGCAATCAAAATATGAATCTAGCATATTTGATTGTTTTTAGTATTACCATACATCAGTTTCGTCATATACAGAAGCTTTGCCATCACCTTCAATTCATGATTAATGTTTCTAAAACATAATTAGCAAGTTGAGTGGATATGTTCTCTTCCAAATATTGAGACCTAAATCTCTGTTATTCTGCAATAACTTTTTGGTACCCGCTCTTAAATTCTTCCTAGGGACTAGCTGTTGTGGCCCTCCTAAGGCATTTCGGATGCGTTTGCTGGTAACTGATCTTCATATTTGGCCATCGTTAAGTCTTGTTTCTGTGAAGCTAGTTATTACGACTTTTCTACACTTGTGCTTGTTGGTAGTTGGGAATTAGCTTCAACCCTGAAGGAATACAAATCAAAGTTCGATTCAGTTGGTGTGAAATTAATTGCAGTGGGTGTTGGCACTCCCAATAAAGCTCGTATACTTGCTGAACGAGTAATTTCTCTCTCCCATAATCTATCATTGCAACATATTGCTGGCAATAATTCACGCTATAAGAAGCAAAAGAGACCCTTTTTTTAATTTTGAATGGGAGGTGTTGACCCTTTTTCATGAGTGGCTGAAATTATGATTGGAAGACTTTGCTCGTAATCCTATAAAGGATTTAGTGGTGTTCTGAAAATGCTTGAACTATGAAAACCATAGACAATGACAAGATTAAGAGTTCACCGTTGCTTCTGTCGGAATTGGGGATTGGATTCGAGAATTAATTATAAGTAATAACCAGTCGCATCCCAATTTATTGCATTTCCAGTTATTTTTGTCATTAAAATAACTGCTGACATTTGAGTTTCCTGTTTATTGTTGAAGCTTATAAGGATTTTTCATGCCTGTAAATCACGGCCCTGATTAGTTTAGTTGTAGCATCTGAACACGCTAGCTAGGTGTTGGTGATTGGCTAGTATCCATAAAGAATTTAATTTTGTTAAGTGTTCTTCAAGCATCATGCTTAGTATTTGATAATTTCATGTCGTCATGGACACGTTGCTCTCAAGACTGATATTTTCTTATTGACCTAATATCCTGTGCTCAGTTACCATTTCCAATGGATTGTCTATATGCGGACCCTGAGCGCAAGGTAATGTGTTTGGCACTCTAAGCACTCATCTATCAGGATTCATTTTTCTGTGAATTTTTATTTTAACAAATGCTTGTCTCTTCCAGGCATATAATGTTTTGGACCTATACTATGGAGTTGGTCGTACATTGTTCAACCCCGCCAGTGTAAACTTCAGACCTTTGTGAAGTATACGATTTGAAGAGACTGTTGAGTTGTTGTCTAATACGTGTATCTTTCCAACAAAACGTTGATATTTCAGGCAAAGGTGTTCTCAAGATCTGATACTTTTCGGAAGGCATTGAAAAACTATACGATTGAAGCCACCCCGGATGATATAAGTGGTGTCTTGCAACAGGTTTCTATTGTAGGACCGGACTAGAACAAACTTTGCTGTGTTCTTAATTCCCTTGAATGGTTTGCTTTTGTTTTTTAGTCCGCCTTATATGGATAAGTTATTAATTTATGTCAGGGAGGAATGTTGGTATTCGAAGGAAGGCAGCTGTTGTATGCGAGGAAGGATGAAGGCACAGGTGACCATGCTCCTTTGGATGATATTTTTGATGTCTGCTGCAAGGCTCCTTCTGCATAATCACAAACCTTATACTGTATAACTGGAAGACTTTTTTCTTACAACTGCGTATTGTCATATACATAACCTGATGATAGCTAGTGGCTAACGATTTGAGATAATAATATTAGGGAACTTCTACGTTGACCTAGGATTCAGGGTTCAAATTTGACATTTTCTTTTCCTAATTGCTTGAATAACCAAAGAACGAATCTGGCAGTTTGAACTTTATGATTCTTTCGGTTAGAGGTGGAGACTGTTATGAACTTGAGAGAATTCCAGATAGGGACTAGTGAGTTGTGCGTATTCAAATAGCAGGTTTCACGCAACTAGGCTTGTGCCGAAAGGGGAGGGGAATTGCGTAAAATCTAATATGCCATAACAAAGCTCTTTAGGTGCTTGCGTCGTCTCTTAAATTGCAAAATCGTAGCGTAAAATAAGCCTTTGATTTTTCACGCGTCAAGAAACGGGTCTTGTGTATTTATTCTGAGATGGTGCAAATCCTTACATGTCTCTGAGTGAAATGAGATATTGGCGTGAAGGAACGAAGGGTGGAGTAAACAGTATTGCTGAGTCTCGGTCAAACTGCCTATAATTGTTGGCAGCCGCTGATCATCTCTTTCAGGATACAAGAGTCGCCTTATATATTCTATGCTCATTCTATCCTCTTCTTAATATAAGAGTTAGTTAACTAATTTCAGTAAATTAAGACAATTTGTTAAGTTAGGTATTTACAATAAATAGGTGTTGTTTTTCTTAGAATACTTTTACTAATTATATGTATTAGCTAGAATTATCATTTAATAAAAATCTTTAACATGTGTAATTATTACTAAGAGGACTATTTTGAAATATATGGATAGATACAAAAGATAAAGTAGATTAGGGTTTTATATTTAGGATTAAATTAAAAGTCAAATTAATTTTTATATCACATGAAATTTTCTTATTTTCTTTTATCATGTCACCAACTCCTGCAGGAGTGAAAGCAAAACTGTTAAAAGATTTATTTTTTGATGTTGATAATTCAAAAGTTTTTTAATAATTAGCCAATTAAAGAAAACCAACATTCTCTCAACGCTTGTATTTTGATTCCGAAATGTTGAAGGGGCTAACGGCAATATAAATATACATAACATAAAAATTTTGACAGATTATAATATCCCTCCTTTTCTTATTATAAGAGACATTTGATGCTTATGGCATGTTCCTATATATAAAGACCTTAAAAGTTGTCTCTACTTTTTTTGTTTGATTTTCTATTTTACCCATATTATTGTCTCCAACTCACACTCTCTCTTTCTTTTAATAATTTAATTGTTCTCTCTCATACTCTCTCCTTATTAATGAGGGCAGTTTTGGAAAAAAAATTATACTTTTTTACACATTGATTGTTCTTAACTAATTTTAACTATTTTTTTGATTAACGTAAATCGATTATTCGTTTCTTATAATAAGAAACGGAGGGAGTAATATAAACGGTATGGCTTTTACCTCATACAATAAATTGAAGTACATTAATTTCATGGAAGGGGGAAAGAAAAAGGTCCGGAAGCGGATAACCTGAGTATGCGGGGATGGATTATCATTTATTGTTACTGAATAGACAGAGGCAACAATCAATGGCAAAACAGGAAAAAAAAAT